GGGCTATGGACCCGCCGATCGCCTATATGTGAAACACCCGGTAACGGGTGTGTGCATTTATCGGGTCTTTTCTGCCCGTGCATGCCCGCTAGGGGGCGCGCGCGAGCAGAAAAAAATTGCCGTCTGGAGACGGCAACCCGCAGATGCTGCAGTGCCGTCCGTCCGTTTTTTTACTACGGGCGGACGGCAAGAGGTTAAATGTGTTACAGCCTGCCTGGGGAACGCCCACTCCTCCAGACTGACATGGTATTTGCATAACTCCTCCCAAGAGCCGGCCCACTGCTTGCATCATGGCTGAGGGCTCTTGAGCGGAGTACTGAGGCAGGGTGCTACAATGCTTTAAGGAAGTTATGTACAGCCCCCTGCTGGCTCCTCCCACCAGCCATGATCTGCCTGCATTGCACAGAGAAGCATAGAGCGCGTCCACCATGTTGATGATGGATGTAACATATTAGCAGACTAAACTTCATCTGTTCTCTTCCAGGACCTCTTGTGAGCCAGACCTGAACTGTGCGGTGAATTGTTTTTGGCTCCGCCCCCAGCGATGGGCCACCAGCTGTCCAGCCAGGGGGCGATCAACAAACTTCCCGAGAAGGTGGCCAAGCATGTGACCCTGGTGCGTGAGAGCGGCTTCCTGACGTACGAGGAGTTCCTGGGGCGAGTCGCTGAGCTCAACGATGTGTAAGAGGCCGGCCGTATATCACTCGCATACATGACCCCCACATGGGAGGGCCGCACGTCCACCGCTAGGAAGTCTGAGTCTTAGTAGAGGAATGACACAACTGCTGCAGGAGTCATTGTGTCATTTCATATTCCGTATCCTGCTGCAGTGCTCTCCCAGTCCCTAAATTCTAGTGTGCCCTTATGGCAGCCATGGCAACAGTATGCATGGAAGACGTGCGTGCATGTGTGTTCATGGACAAGATGATAATCTTTATTTACATAATATGTTCAGATAAGATGTAAAAATAACCAAAACCCCCGCCGCAGCTGTGAACTGGCCAGAAGCCTGCACAGAGCTTGAAATGGAATGACAGGCATCCCCCGCCCCGCCCCCTAGGATTACTGCACAGGGAGTTTTGCTTTGTACAGTTTTCTTGTAGTTTTCCTCATCGCTGTGCTGCAGATCCCCTCCCCCGTTAGGTTTCATTTAGAAAGATCGGGGTGATGTTGTCAGAGCGGCGTGTTTGGTTCCAGAGTCCGCTCGTTGCATCATCTCATTCCTGGTCACATGGGGCGAGGTGTTCTCGTCTTCATACGCTGTGATGTCACACCCTCGCTGTGTACACACCAAGCAGCAGCTGTCCGCAGGGGGGCCGAGCGCTCTCACCCATGACGCCCGCCGCCGGGAGGAAACCTGAAATTCTGGTTCTGTTTATTGTTTGTGTCTAATAACTCCAGAAATGTCAGCCTGCT